ACCTTGAGAATATCCCACCTGAATTTAGAGACCATCTTAAGAATAGATTTGATGCATCGAATTCTAATGACTAAAGACCAGACAAGTTGTGGAATGACATCAAGGGCATCATACATGAAGAAAGCAAAAGGTCATTAAAAAGACAGGAAAGGAAGAAAAGCCCAAAATGGATATCAGAAGAGACTCTGAAACTTGCTCGTGAACATCGAGTAGCTAAAGCAAAAGGAAGAAATGATGAAGTAGAAGAACTGAAAAGAAGATTTCAAAGGGCGACTCAAGAAGACGAAGTATTATAATGACATGTGCAAATAGCTGGAGATAGAAAACCAAAAGGGAAGAACACACTCGGCATTTCTCAAGCTGAAAGAACTGAAGAGAAAATTCAAGCCTCAAGTTGCAATAGTGAAGGATTCTACTAGGAAGATATTAAATGACGTAGGAAGCATGAAGAGAAAATGGAAGGAATACACAGAGTCACTATACCAAAAAGAACTGGTCGACGTTCAGCCATTTCAGGAGGTGGCATATGATTAGGAACCAATGGTACTGAAGGAAGAAGTCCAAACTGCACTGAAGGCATTGGAGAAAAACAATGTTCCAGGAATTGACAGAATATCAATTGAGATGTTTCAACAAATGGATGCAGCACTGAAAGTGCTCACTTGTCTATGTCAAGAAATTTGGAAGACAGCTACCTGCCCAACCAACTGGAAGAGATCCATATTTATGCCAATTCCCAAGAAAGGCAATCCAACTGAATACGGAAATTATAGAACAATGTCATTAATATCACACACAAGTAAAATTTTGCTGAAGATCATTCAAAAGCGGCTGCAGCAGTATATTCACAGGGTGCTTCCAGAAACTCAAGCCAGATTCATAAGAAGATGTGGAACTAGGGATATCATTGCTGATGTCAGATGGATCCTGGCTGAAAGCAGAGAGTACCAGGAAGATGTTTACCTGTGTTTTATTGACTATGCAAAGGCATTCAACTGCGTGGATCATAACAAATTATGAACAACATTGCAAAGAATGAGAATTCCAGAACATTTGATTGTGCTCATGAGGAACTTGTACAAAGATCAAGAGGCAATAGTTCAAACAGAACAAGGGTATACTGCGTGGTTTAAAGTCAGGAAACACGCGTCAGGGTTGTATCCTTTCACCATAATTATTCAATCTGTATGCTGAACAAATAATCTGAGAAGCTGGACTCTATGAAGAAGAACAGGGCATCAGGATTAGAGGAAAACTCACTAACAACCTGTGTTATGCAGATGACACAACCTTGCTTGCTGAAAGTGAAGAGGACTTGAAGCACTTACTGATGAAGATCAAAGACCACAGCCTTCAGTATGGATTACACTTCAACATAAAGAAAACAAAAATCCTCACAACTGGATCAATAAGCAATATCATGATAAACAGAGAAAAGATTGAAGTTGTCAAGGATTTCATTTTACTTGGATCCACAATCAACACCCATGGAAACAGCAGTCAAGAAATCAAAAGATGCATTGCATTGGGCAAATCTGCTGTAAAAGACCTCTTTAAAGTGTTGAAAAGCAAAGATGTCACCTTAAAGACTAAAGTGGGCTTGGCCCAAGCCATGGTGTTTTCCATCACCTCATATGCATGCGAATGCTGGGCAATGAATAAGGAAGACCGAACAATTGATAACTTCGAGTTGCGGTGTTGGAGAAGAATATTGAATATATCATGGACTGCCAGAAGAGCGAACAAATCTGTCTTGGAAGAAGTAGAACCAGAATGCTGCCTAGAAGCAAAAATGGCGAGACTATGTCTCACATACTTTGGACATGTTATCAGGAGGGATGAGTACCTGGAGAAGGACACCATGCTTGGTAAAGTAGAGGGTCAGCATAAAAGAGGAGGACCCTCAACAAGATGGATTGACACAGTGGCTGCAACGATGGGCTCAAGCACAACAACGATTGTGAGGATGGCGCAGGACCGGGCAGTGTTTCATTCTGTAGTACATAGGGTCGCTATGAGTCTGAACCGACTAGATGGTACCTAACAGCATCAACAACAATTGCCATATTGTTTTATAAATCCTTCCTGCAGATATTTTAATAATAAAGAAGGGAAGGGAGGCCAGGAGCAGTAAATTATGCTGCATTATTGCTATTTAAGGCTGTAGACATTAATGTTGAAGCCTCGAGCAAAATTCATTACTATGGACAGTGCTATTGCTTCTAGTAAGAATTCTGAAGATCTGATAGGTAGTTGGAGAGCTATGAATGTTGATAAACTCTTTTTTTTTCCTGAAAAAGAAATTCTTTTGAAAGTTTTTGGATTTTCATTCTATATCATCCTTCCTAAGACCAACTATAACTGCCCTTCTTGCCCTACCCAAACCTAGCTAAAATAACCGATGGATCTTTGGTGTAAAATTTTGGGGGATATGATCAAATATGATCAAATAGTGAAACCACATCTAATAATTTTAATTTTATCATATTAAAATATAACCTTTAGTTACTGTGGAATGAGACAACTTTAATTTTCAAAGAACAAAGATAAAGCAATTGAATAGCTGTTGAGTCAACAGGGCTTTCAGAAAATTGCTGAGTAAACAAATGGGGAGTGCTAACAGTCCTTCCCTTTTTTTTTTTTCTTAAAGAATTAATTCCTTGCAGAACATAAAAATTCTTTTTGAGAAAAAAAGCTTTGTTTGAAAATTACCAATGAAGTTAAAATTCAAAGCTGATAAGCTTTGTTTCCTAGAAATAATTCAAGGATTTTTTTAATAACAGGCAATTCCTAGACGATGGTGAGAGTGGTAACAGCAGAGTGGTCAGATGGGAGGCTAAGTCTCACAAATTTGGTTAGACTCAAGTGTACACAGAAAGAAACAAACCATTTTCTATTATTCACAAGAACAGAACTGAGATGCTGTGTGGTGTGGGTTTAGAGATTAAAGAAAGAGTTTCTTAAATTCCACTGTCTTTAACTGATTACAACCATGATAACAACTGATAATATTCTCTGGATGGGGTGGGGTAGAAAATAGGGGACTAATTAATAAAGATAAGAATTAAGCCAACGGTCCCTTGTTGTTGTGTTGTTAGCTGCTGTCCAGTTGGCCCTTGACAGCGACCCCAGGCATAATGGAGCAAAATGCTGCCTGATCCTGCATCCTCCCCATGATCCGTTGTGAACTGGACTGTTGTGATCCATAGGGTTTTAATTGGCCTTCCTTGTTTCGTCTTAGTCTGGAAACTGTTGAAACTTATTTAGCATCATAGCAACACGAAAGCCTCAGCTGACAGATGGGTGGTGGCTGCGCATGAGGTGCATTGGCTAGGAATCAAACCTGGGTCTTCCTCATGGAAGGTGAAAATTCTACCACTGAACTACCAGGGCCCCCAAATGGTCCCTAGGGTAACCAAAATCACCGGCCATTTTATTTCAAAGTTTGTAAATATATTTATATCTTGCATTATTATGACTATGCAAATCTGACACACATGTAAGACTAAATTAATAATTGATTCCTTTATAACTGCATTGTATAATAAAAAATTCACCAGTAACTGTCTTACTCTCTTTTCTCCTTTTCATATTGTTTGTTATCAATGTGCTCTGTGATCTTATTATTTTTATTATTTTTACTATTAATTATGTTTTCTTGTTTAATTTACTCTGTATCTGGAGTCCTCCCTCTCATTCTCTCCTGAAACTTGCGTGCTGGTGTCAGTTGAGGTCTTGAGTGATAGTTATTGTCTTAGGCAGCTAGTGCTGCTGTAACAGAAATACCACAAGTGGATGGCTTTAACAAAGAGAAATTTATTATTCACAGTCAAGTAGGCTAAAATTCCAAATTCAGGGTGTCAGCTCCAGGGAAAGGCTTTCTCTCTCATGAATGTTCCCCAGGACTAGGAGCTTCTCTGCACAGGGACCCCGGGTCCAAAGGACATGCTCTGCTCCTGGCACTGGTTTCTTGATGGTATGTGGTCCCCATGTCTCTCTGCTCACTTCTCTCTTTTCTATCTCAAGAGATTGCCTCAGGACACAATATCTTGTAGATTGAGTCCTGCCTCACTAACGCAACTGCAGCCCATCGTCCCTCATTAACATCATAGAGGCAGGATTTACAACATATAGGAAAATCACACAATACTGGGAATTATGGCCCAGCCAAATTGATACACACATTTTTGGGGGGACATAATTCAATCCATGACATTTATTGACTCAACTGTCTTCTCAACTATGTGTTTTATGTTGAGTCATTTAGGGGGCAGGGGAAATAAAAAGTAAAGGACTCAGAAGAAAGAATCGAGATTTTAATGAGAAAACTTAACTGATGATGGAGCCCTGGTGGCGCAGTGGTTAAGAGCTCAGCTGCTAACCAGCAGGTCAGCAGTCTGAATCCACCAGCCACTCCTTGGAAACCCTATGGGGCAGTTCTGCTCTGTCCTATAGGGTTGCTATGAGTCGGAATTGACTCCATGGCAACGGGTTTGTTTTTTTTTGTTTAATTGATGATATCATCCACACACATATGATTATCTCTATAAGGATGTGAGATGGTATATAAGCAGTCTTATAATTTTTAATTTATATTTGTATTGTCTTCCGTATCTGTATATGGAGTGTGAATAACTCTCACTGACTATGCATGAATATGCAAGTGTACTATGAGCATATTTGGCTACGTAGATCTGGAATACCTTAGTCAATTTTGAAAGAACAAGGCGGGTGCAAGAGGCAGCAATGGTTAATTTATAAGCTGTTAAACAAGACAAATTTGAGTAAGAGTAAAGACAAACTTGCTGAGAACATTTTATTGCTGCCAGCTGAGACTTGAAGTATAGAACCTCTTTGCTGACAATGAGTAGGGGAGGGAGGAGGAAGAGCCACCTCATTCATTTGATGATCAGCCTTTGTTATCTGGCTGTCATTCTGTCTGGGTAGACTCCATTGCCTCTCTCTGGGACATCTTGGAGGTGGCACCTCTTCCCCAGTGGCTAGCTTTGCTGTGTGGTTTGAAGCCGCTTCATTTTCGTTTTTTGCCTTCGAGCCGTTCTCAGTTTTTTAGTTTTTAGAAAACTGTCCTCTAATTGGTATAGAAAATCTTCAATTCGCCCAACCTAGAAGATATAAACAGATCCAACAAGTCTTGTTGTTTTCCTGGGTTTTACATACTTACGAAAACGATGATGTATCGAAAACGATGAGGTATTTAAAAATAAATGGCACGTACAGGTCCATTTTAGAACAGAACTAGCAGAAATGGAAACGATTAAACATAAAAGTCTCCTTCTGTTTCCATTTCAGATTTGCCTGTTTTATGAACGTGAAACAGACATGTAGGAGTTTGCTTTTCCATTCAGTCCTATGGAATAGGAATGGGAATGAGAATTATCACTGTGCTGTTTTTAACGGCCAGTGAAAAGCATGAATTTCAAAAGGAAAAGCATGGTGACAAGTTAATCCCATGGCAAGCCCTTTCCCTACCTCCTTTATCAAAAAGAATAGGGAAAACAAACAAACAAATCCACCTTCCTCAAAACCAGAGATTCTAGCATTTGCATGCCCCTAGCCAATACCGGAGAAAAAAGAATATTCCACGCTGTAACGGCAAGAATCATTTCTCTATTAAATTAAAAAAAGAAATTTTGAATAAATATATTTTCTTTAAAAATGCCATGCCCCAGGGAATAAGGCAAAATAGTGTTATACAAAACAATAATTCTTAAAAAATCTATTAGTCTTTCTTTCTCCAAAGGAAACTGAAAATTATTCAATGACAGTTGAATGTATTACACTGTTTGTCAGAAAGAACTATGGAAAAAACAATTTACATATATGCTGAGTTGGGCTCTCATGAAAGTCTGTGCATGTAACAATTCATACTTAACCTCAGTTCCTAGCCCTGCATATTATATTAGCCTAATGTCACTCCCTGAAGAGCCCATTGTCATAAACTCAGTTCGAAGCTAGAGCACTTACTATTCAAGTTACGTCGATATCATCTACTTAAGATAAAAGCATTTACAACTTCAATTTTCCAGTTTTGAGTTCCACTTTTAAATCACTTGATTTATCATTCAGAGTAATACTCCAAAGATAATTTAGATTGTCAAAAAGAGAATAATAAATGGTAGCATGCACCCATATGTTATGCTTAGGTCTTATATCACACTGGGTGATGTAAACTGTCCATTGCTTTTCTTAAGAAAACAAGATACCTTATTTATGTTGAGATAATAATTTGTGAGAACTTTTTAAAAACAACTTCAGGTAAATTCCTGCAAAAGCACCTTGTCATTTATGACATCTGATCATTTGTAGAAATAATCCAAATAATTTGACAGAATATTTTTGGATCCTATCATGAAGTCAATGCGTTATTCTACATGTTCCATATGTTTATTCTATCCAATTTACACCAAAACCATAAGTAAAAAAACAAAAAAATGAACATACAGCACAATCAAAACAAACATAATAGACAGCACTTTACTGTTACATCAGTAGTTGAGTTGATGACTCTCATCTTATTTGCCCTGAAAATGTTATCATTTAGATCAAAGCTTTTTACAATTAGAATGTATGCAATTAGCCCAAATACAATTTTTTTTTTCATTGTACTTCAGGTGAAGGCTTACAGAACAAATAGTTTCTCACGAAACAGTAGTACACATGTTGTTTTATGACATTGGTTAACAACCCCACAACATAT